ATTTTACCGCGGATTCGTTTACAAACAAGGCACAATTCAACACAGGATTTTCAGAAACATTTAAACTAAAAGACGATGCTGTGCGACTATATTGAATCCAACAGTAATGTCGCACCACATGAGTGTGAGGAACTGTTTTTATTACATGATCACTATTAGGGCTGGGTAAAAAATACTGATTTCTCGATTTTAATCGATTCTCATTTTTACAAAACGATACTGATTCATATATCCCAAGAATCGATTAGTCTAGCCTGTTTTAAGTTAATGCACATAACATTGTAGCGTGCCTCCCATTCAATAAATCACAATAAGCTTTGTGATTAGTTACTTTTGATTTGAAACAAAGTCTCGGTTTCAAATTCTTACAATTTTATTACAACATTCAAATAATAAATGCCCTTTTGGAGCCGTTTAATGTGGAGTGACAGATCACTGTGAACTGATCGTCTCCTCCGCTTTAAAAGCAGTTACAGCATGAAATAAACATAAATGAACATCTGAAGGTACGTTAAAAGAAAGAGCACAACTTACCAAAATCCGTATCCTGTCTCATGTGATCGCTCAATCAGTCATAAATTAATTTCGTAATCATTTGTTCTTGTATTATTGTACAGTATATCTCACAGTATTCTATTTTTATTTTATTTGTAAAATTGTACAACATTTTGGTACACTTTGTGGTTTTTAAAGTGCTTTATAAATAAACTTTGATTTGAAATCGACAGAATTTGAAAGCTGATATTTATATTTTGTTTCAAATCAAAAGCAACAAAGTAGCAAAGCTTATTGTGATTACTGAATGGCAGCAGGGTTTATTATCGTTAACTTAAACTAAAACTATTCAAAACATTGTTCGTTGAAATGTGTGTGTGTGCGCGTTTTTGTGACAAATGAGAACATAAATTTGTATAATGACAAGCTAGCATGTGACGCGTGTTTGGATCAGACAGCAATGAAAGCACTTGTTGACACACACTCGAATGATGACTGGACGAGTGCTGACCTCAATTACATAACGACTGTGTAACACACACACTCACACTCACACAGACACACACAGACACACTCACACTCACACAGACACACACACACTCACACACACACTCACAGACACACACACTCACAAACTTAAGACACTCACACGCACACACACACACAAAAACACTCATACACACTTACACAGACACACACACTAACACACTCACACACACACACACTCACAGACACACACTCACACACACACACACACACAAAAACACTCATACACACTCACACTCACACTAACACACTCACACACACACACTCACAAAAACACTCACACACACACACACAAACAATCACACACTCACACTCACACACACACCCACAAAAACACACACACACACACACACACACTATGAGAGCAGGTCCTGCTGGAGGAGGTTTATTGAGATCAGCGTCTCTCTCTCTCTGAAACACTGCGTCTGCATTTATCCCTGACTGTAAAAGCACATGCTGACGGAGGCCAGGACGCCGCTGCGCTCTCCTTTCATTAAACACACTGCTGACTGCACAAACGACACAAACACGTGCTCTGATTGAACCTGCGACAGCAGGAGCATCAGAACCAGATCTCTACAAAGCACCTCAAGCATCGTTTCGGACACAGAGTGGACCTGAAGATCTGTTTGTAAGCGTGTTTGCCAGTCGCAGGTAGAGCAGCTTGTGTCGCGTGTGCCAGCCATGTTCCTCAAGTCAGCAGACTAAACACAGAAAAATGACCGGCAGACAGAATCCAGTCATAACAACAATGGAATTTGGCAAATCTGGATAAATAAATCAAAAGTAGGGCTGCACTAGTGTCTGTGAATATTAAAGCCTAAAAAGACTGCTATCGAAATCTAATGTCTGCATCGAAAGTTTAACTTATTTAACTTTAATATATTACTAATGCACAGTGAAATGTACTTTTCAAAGTTATACTAATAATACTAAGAATATTTAACAATAATAGTTAATATTATTAATATTAATTACATTTAAAAAATAGTATATATTATAATAATTCCATAAATATATTATAAATTAATATTAATAGTATTAATAAATAATAATTTAAACAATTTTTTAAGGAATATCACACACTTTTCTTTCATGTTTTCATTTTAGCAGTAAATAAACAAATTAATGTTTTATGCCTCCATTTGATTCTCACCCATAATACATTTGTATTAAATCTTAAATGCAGATAATTAAAAGAAAACAACATAGAAAAAAAATTCTAAGGGCTCTATTATTGTAAAATAATTTTAACACATCATTCAATTAAAGTCTTATGAATTCAATTGATTAGACATGCTTTTTAAGCATTAAAATTTAATTAAAGCATTAAGACACAATCTAGAAAAAAATTAAACTGAAAACACTGAATTTGTGAAAAAACTAAATATAATTTTTTCATGAATTGTTGTTAGATTGTATACATTTCATAATTTCAATTAATTAGATATGTTTTTTTATTACCAGAATTTAATTTAACCATTAAAGCAGAATCCAAAAAATATATATTTTTATGGAAAAAACTGAATTTCTGGAAAAATAAATAAATAAATAAACAAATAAATAAATAAAACCAAATTTCTTATTTCTTATTATTGTAACAATTTAAACTATTAAATTGTTAAGGTTTATGAATTCAATTAATTAGACATGCTTTTCGATTATTAAAATCGAATTAAACCATTAAAACATAATCCAGAAAAATAGGAATAAAACTGATTTCATAAGGCCCTGATTTTGACCAATTAGACATGTTTTTTTTTTTTAATTACCAAAATTTAATGTAACAATTAAAGCAGAATCCAGAAACATTTGGGGGGAAAATAAAACAGATTTCACATAAGAACACAGAGAACAAGACAAGACAAATAAAAGTATCTGATAAATAAATAAATGTACGTTTGTTTGGGCAAGGAGCTCGTGTTAATATTTCACGTCTGGTAAAGCGCTCACTGGTTTCACATTCAGTTCTGACCGAGAGATGCTTTAGTTTAAAAACAGCAAGATAATGATTAAAAATCATTAAAATATTACACTACATGATTATTTGACATTGATGATGATTTTCTTTAATTATTAAATAATTAAAATGTTTTATGAATTCAGTTGATTAGACATGCTTTTTAAATTATTAACATTTAATTTAACCATTAAAAAGGAATCCAGAAAAATTAAAAAGGCAAACACGAAATTTGAGGAAAATATATTGGATTTCATGAAATGTAGTTTTTGTTAAACTTTAATAAATTGTTGTTAAATTATATAAATTGCATGATTTCAATTCATTAGACAAAGCAGAATCCAGAAAAATTCTGTGGAATTTGGAGGAAATAAAACGGTACTTTGAAAAAAATAAAAATAAAACAGATTTCATAAAATGCAATTTTTGGTAAACTTTAAAAAACTGCTGGTAAATTGTAAAAGTGTCATGATTTCAATTAATTATACATGCTTTTTAATTGCTAAAATATCATTTAACCAGTAAAACTGAATCCAGAAAAATTAAAGCAGAAAACATTATTTAGGAAAAAATAAAACAGATTTTTAAAAAATGAAATTTTAGTTCAAATGTAATAATTTGTTGTTAAATTGTATATATTTCAAGATTTCAATTAATTAGAAATGTTTTTTTGTTTTATACAAAAATTTGACTACATCGGAATCCAGAAACATTAAAAAGGAAAAAAAAAATGGTGAAGGGTTTTAAAATGGCCATAAAAAATTAACTTTGTTAAACTTTTAATAAAATCTTGTTAAATTGTAGACGCTTCATGATTTCAACTGATTACACATGCCTTTTGATTACTAAAATGTATTTTAACCATTAATCCAAAAAAATTTAAATGGAAAAAATTTAATTCTGGAAAAATAAAAAGTTTTTGTAAAACTTACATTTTTTAGGTTTCATGATTTTAATTGATCAGAAATGCTTTCTAACTGCTAAAATTTTATTTAACCGTTAAAACGGAATAGACAAAAAAATAAAAAATTAGGAAAAAATCAAACGGATTGATTCCCTGAAAACATTTAGTGAGTTAAACAGACAGTGAAGTAATAACAGTAGATCACATTCACTCAGGTGCAGGCTGTTACTGTACAGTGTTTTACTCCACGCTGTGATTTATCATCTGCGTCTGACATGCAGATATATCACTGGTAAGTGGCAGCGGCACAGTAAACGTCATCAGCTTTAACAGGAGCGAGAGTAAGTGCTGAAGACTAGGGTTGGGTACCGAAACCCGGTATCAATGTGACCCATGTAACCGGTATGTACTAGAACCGAATCAGAACGCAGATTTCGGTGCCATGCCTGAGCGATCGATTGAAATATTTGTCCTCTGGTTCTCCGAAACGGACGTAAGAAGCATCATCACCGGCACCGCACGTGAAAAATAATTTCCCGACTGAGAAAATGCACGTGAACTCAAGTCGGAAAGCTCCAATAATACAAATCCAACACATCTTGTAGTTATGAGAGTGTCCATGTTGTTTTCACATTCCGACTCAAAAGCACAACTCGGGAAACAAGAGCATTCGAGGAGCGCGTGAATGCAGTAATTACACTTGCTCTGATGGCAGCAGGTAGCCTTCCGTTAACTAAGCTAAACATGCTTAAATTAAAATGCCTAAAGCTAAACCTCCCTTGTATTCACATTTCTAAACCTGTTGTCCAACAAAAGAGAACATTATAACCTTTTTACTCCACTACTGTCCTTTTTTTGGAAAATACATCGATTAGCAATGGATTATAAATATACTTAATTATTATGAAAATACCAGAGATGGCTTGAATAACACAGATAAACTATATTGTCGCAGTCGAGTGTTTATTGTCTTTGTTTTATCATTCAAAACGTTTATATGTTCTGTTTACTCAGTTACAGCTATAATAGCGATGCCTTTGTCCATATAAGGGATTTCCTGGAGGGTCATGAGTTCCGTTACTTCTATGACTAGATATGTGGCTTTTCTGTGCAAGGGCGCCCTCTGGCGTCCAGTATGAATGAAACAGACATAATGCGTTTATAGTGCTAATGGCCAATCCATCATTTTTTGGGGGAATTTTTATTTATTTATTTTTTTAATAAGTATCGGTTCAGGCACCGGAACCGTTTTAAAAGTATCGATTTGGCACTGGTATCGAAAAAACCCAAACGATACCCCACCCTGTTAACTGCTGCAGCCTGATTCTAGAATCTAGACATTCAGTGTTTGGAGAAACTGTCTCAAAATATGAATACTGTGTACACGACGTCAGACATGAATCTTTAGAGAATTATATACAATAATATATAGATAATACGGACACACCTCAGTTTGTAGAGAGGGCGATACCCTGTTCAAATCGATAAACTATTAATCGAAATAAAGCCCAAATCGCCATGTGGCTTGCTACGATTTAATTAAATAAACATATGCGCTGTGTGTTTCAGTAAAGCGCAGCACTGTGTTCATTTACACGTGAGCAGCTCATGTTCCGCCGCACTACTGACGCTTCATTTGATGGAAAAAAAGACTTGACAAAATGACTAAGATTATGCTATGACTGAGATTGAACACCATGGTAAATGTCCAAAAACACTGTAGTACAATGCCAATGAGTGAGATCTGATGCTGAGCCGTTTTACTTTAACTCGGGATGAAAAGGTTCCCGGTCACAGATCCGTCACACTGAATTAAAC